ACTTTTTTTGTCCTCCGTGCCATCTCTCAAAATAGACAACTTTTCCCGTGTCATCTTTGCTCCATTCTCTTCTTGACTCATTAAATTAACATTGTAAAGAATTTTGGCCTAAAAAATCTTTGTCTCCTCGTGTGCATTAGCAAGCCTTTGAAGATGTAATATGAAAACCTCTTGAATCTTCTTTGCTTTGCTTCTTGTAATTGGTCACAAATTGATTCGTATCATCTATGATTGTAATCACACGTAGAACTATGATTTTAGGTCACCCTAGTCTCTACAGCAACCAAAAGCAGTTCGTGAAAGAGTAGAACTCATATTCTCAAAATTTAGCCAAATACTGGCTGGTGCATTTTTCACAAAACTTGTATCTTCGATGTCTTTGATCAAAACTAAGGTAGGAAACAGAGAGGTTGTTTTATTAAATTGCTTGATATTAAAACCTCAAACAACAACATTTTTTCAGTGTTTTCTTCACAAACCACAGTTGAATTTTGAACGATTCACTTCTTTAAAACCGTTTTGAAAAGCACAAGTGATATGAACCAAAGTGTCTTAGTGCTCAAGGATTGAAAGTAAGATGTTGAGAATCCAATGTCCAAGTTGACAACAAATTGGAGTTGATGCAACTCTAATTTCATTTATGGCCAACTTAAGTTGCATTCATGGAAGTCAAAGTTGAACTCAAAATGCATTCATGGAAGTCAAAGTTGAACTCAAGTTGCATTCAATGAACTTAAGTACATCTGAAGCTTCATTTATTGCAAGTCATACATCAATTAATGGAACTACACTTCAAACTACTTCAAGTGAAGCTTCATTTACAATTGGGAGGTTACAAAGACTTTGAAGGGTGACCAAGACTTCAATTCTCGGATTTAAACCTATTTTTATTATATTTTCAGTTTTAAACATTTTATTTATGTGTTTTAAGTTACATTTTAGATAGTGGATGTTATGGCCATCATGTAATTAGGAGTTACAACCTTTAAAATGCCTTTAAGTTACTTTTAGGGTTGTTTTGAAGGCTATAAATAGCCTAGCTTGTTTCCTTTGAAATAGAGATTTTGACGATTGAATGAAAGTTGCTATTTTGCTTCAAAAAGCCTAGAGCTTGTTTTTCTTTGCAATTCTTGAGTGTTAGATTTGAATGCTAGAATCATTTAAGTAGCCTTGATCAGGCTATTTTGTGGAGTGGTTGGAATCTTGAGTTTAGAAACAAGTTTTCTCTACTCTTGATATTGATCATCAAGGTAAATCCGTTCTAACTTCTTCCTTGGATTGACATCATCTAGATTTGAGGGTTTTAGCATTTGTGATCTAGGGGTTTGCATAACCATAAGGGTTCTTAGATCCAATTGGCTATTGTTTTCTTATCATTTGGTATCAGAACACTATGCTCTAGATCGGATATATGTTTCCGTTTTCGTATTGCTCTTCTTGTTCTTTGTTTTGAAATTTTTGTTCTTATTGTCCATCTCGTTACATCTTGTCCACGTATCTAAAATACAAAAAAAGTGTCATTTTCATTATTCTTTTCGTCTTGTTGTCTTCTATGAGTTTGTAGATCTCTGTCTTATCTACAACTTTGTCTTCTTTCATATATTCTGATTCAATTTTCTTCTGGGTGAAAAGTTCGAAAATTGACATTCTATTCTGGAAAACTGCTATACCCGAGAGTATGTGTTCTTCTTTGTTCTTTATATTTTTTTTTCACTTGCAAAGCATGCTAGATCTGAGTAGTGCCGTTGAAATTGCCTATTTGTGTTAATCTGGCTGTTGGTATTAAATCATATCAGTTATGTTTTGATTTATTTCCACAACTAACCATTCCTAATTAAATTCTTGGCTGTTACAATTGTCTCATTTAATTTCCAGCAATTTGTTTTTCAATTCTCATGATGTTTTTCTTGTGTAACTCATATATGTTATCAAGGCTCAATTAAACTCCATAAATTCTCAAAATAGCCTAATTGTTCAAGAGTTACATTTTCTAGTCTTTTGAACTTCTTGTTCCATTTTAATTATCATGTTCCAATTCTGTCACTTTCTTCTTTAGCTTGTTTCTGATTCGAGTTTTGAATTTTCTCCTATATCAAGTTGTTTGAGTGATTTCTTTGTGTGTTATATCTAACCACTTGAGTTGCAAACTTTGCTCATTGGCTTATGTGAGTGAGATTGTGAGTTTCTTGACAGTGTTGTTGTTTTGAGTAAAAACACGAGTGACTTTACGAGTGTAAACATGTGAGGGAGTGCTTGTGAGATCCGTTTTTCTTTGTTACTTTGTTTTCTTTTGCAGCCATGTCTCAGCAAGAAAATTTTACAAAGTTTTTCCACAAAATGGAGCATTTGACAAAGACGCTCAAAAGGTTGGATTCGAGATTCAAATGTATTGAAAGACAACCAACACACCCGAAGCAAAAGAGGAGTAATAATTCACTACACCACAAGGAGTATTGAGAGGCCGAAGAAAGGTAATATGGTGGATGTTTCAATGCTGTCCAAAGGAGAAATCTAACAGGAGTTCATAATGTTGATCATACCTTGGGAAGCATCAAGCCTAAACTTCCTACGTTCTATGGTAGGACAAACCCGGAGGAATACATTCAATGGGAAAGGCAAGTTGAACGTGTCTTTGATTGGTATCCTTTAAGTGATGAAAGATAGGTAAAACTCATTGTTGCTCAACTTCGAGATTATGCAATTACTTGGTGGGATAAATTAATGTTGAGTAGGCGGAGGAACCTTGAGCGTCCAATAGACTCATGGTATGTTCTTAAGCATTTAATGAGAGAGCATTTTGTTCCTAATCGTTTCCATAAGTTGAAATCTTTGAGACAAGGGAACCAAAGTGTGGAGGCTTACTATATGGAGATGCAAATGTTGCTTGAGGAGTTTGATATTTATGAGGCTGAGGAGGTGATAAGGCAATCCTAATTCTCAGCCCAATGATCCAAGCTTTTGTTGAGCAAGAACCCTTGAATCAAAGAAATTAACACCTCCTTAAACAAGTTAGAATCAACCAAGAGAAAGGCWAGAAATTGATTACCTCTATGATCAAAGATCTAGAAGCAAGAATGGAAATCTTGTTCTAGAATGAGTCATTCCACAATCAAACTTGATCAAGGCTAGATTGAATGGCTCAAAATGCAATCTATCACAAGAATTGCAAGAAACCTTAGAAATGGCAATGGGATTTCTAAAGAAAATGTCTCTTGAGAGATGAAATTTCATTCCTCTAAAATCTGCCTTTTACATAGCTTGGATGGGGCTTTTTATAGCCATTATATGAGTGAAACCCTTAACCCTTCACTTTCCAAAATAAAACCCATAAGTAGTAATGACCACAATTGGTCTACTTAATAACTTCCCAGAATTGAACTCTAAAGTTGAAACCATAATTTGGAAGACCAAAAACTCAAAAATTACAAGCAAGGTTTGATGACTTAGAAACAACAAATGAATCTTTAAAATGKYGGCACAACGTCAATCTTGCAAACGTTGACCTTCACAACATCGTCCTCTCTTGGATTATTTTGCAGCATCTGAAATAAAGGTTGAACTGAGCCTATCAAATTTTTTACGTGAATAAGGAATGCTTGTTGAAGCTTCTTAGCCTTGGCTCGTGTAATAGGTCCAGTGGAGACGTGCGGAACACCATGATTCTTGTCATCTTCCCCCTCTTCAATAAGATCGTCCTCGAATCAGATAAGTCATCACCTACATCAAAAGGACTCAAATCAGCAACATTGAAAGTAGAACTTACTGAAAAGTCACCTGGAAGATCAATCTTGTATGCATTATTGTTAATTCTTTCAAGAACTTGATAAAGACCAGCCCCTCGTGGATGTAACTTTGTCTTCCGTTTCGAGGGAAAGCGCTCCGTGCGAAAATGTATCCAAACCCAATCACCCGGTTGAAAAATCAGTTCTTTCCGTCCTTTATTAATACGTGAAGCAACTTTCGAGTTCTATTTTTCAATCCTCTCGTTGACCTATTTGTGTAAGGTTTTGATCAAATCAGCCTTACTTGTGGCTACATCTGATATGAACCAAGGAGCTACCGTTGTTATGCCTCATGGACCGATTACAAGATCGAGAGCTAGGAAACTTCAACAAGCTTTGCTACTTCATGTCCAAGCGTTCTTGAACTCGACAAGAGAAATAAAGGAAGATGAGGTAGAAGAGGACGACAATGGTGAATGTGAGAGTGAGGAGTATAGTGAAGAGGACCCTACACATATGTYCTTAGTCACTAGGAGAGCTCTCAGTACTCAAATTAAGGARGATGGCYTAGACCAACGAGAGAACTTATTTCACACTAGGTGTCTTGTCCAAACTGTGCCTTGTAGTGTGATTATTGATAGTGGTAGTTGTACCAACGTTGTAAGTTCTATTCTATTCTGGTCAAGAGGCTTAACTTAGAGACAAAACCACATCCTAGACCATATAAACTTCAATGGTTGAGTGATTGTGGGGAGGTAAAAGTGAGTTTTCTCATTAGCTTGGTTGAGAGATTTATCTCCCATTTCTTGTGCAATTTCTTGTGTCTTTAGAATTTGCATGTTAGGATCATTCAAGCRGTGTTGATCATACCTCTTGTGGAGTGATTCGAATCACGAGTTTAGAAACAAGTTTTCTCTACTCTTGATATTGATCATCAAGGTAATCCGTTCTAAAACTTTTCCTTGGGTTGATTCCATACTTGTTTTCGGGGTTTTAGGGATTGAGTTCTATGGGTCTTGTTCGTTAGCAAGGTTCTTAGATCCAACTCTCAAGGGTTTCTTAACATTTTGGTATCAGAGCATTAGGCTCTTTTATCAGAGCATGCAATACAATGCTTACACACTTTATGCACATCATGCTTCATCTTAGGCCAATAAAAATGTTCAGCAAGCATATCATAAGTTTTAGAAACACCAAAATGAGCCATTAAACCACCCCCATGAGCTTCCTTTACAAGCAATTCACGAATTGAACAAGATGGAATGCAAAGTTTTCCTTTTCGAAACAAAAATCCTTCAAACAACATGTAATCATCAACAACAAGTCCTTTTTCACACGATTCAACAAAAGGAGCAAAGAACACATCATCTAGATACAAGGACTTGAGATGTTCAAATCCTAAAATCTTAGCATTCAAAGTATTAAAGAGAGCATACCTTCGTGATAAAGCATCTGCAACAATGTTCTCCTTACCTTGTTTATACTTAATCACATATGGAAATGTCTCTATAAGCTCCAACTACTTGGCATGTCTGCGATTCAGTTTGCTTTGCCCTCTCAAGTGCTTTAGGCTCTCATGATCCGTATGAATGACGAACTCCTTTGGCCAAAGATAATGCTGCCAAGTTTGCAAAGCGCGTACCAAAGCATAAAGTTCTTTGTCATAAGTTGGGTACCGTAAAGAAGCACCACTCAACTTTTCACTAAAGAACATTAGTGGCTTATGGTTTTGCATTAGTACAGCCCCAATTCCAATCCCACTTGCATCACATTCAATTTCAAAAGTCAAATCAAAGTTCGATAAAGCAAGTAGAGGAGCATTGCACAACTTATCCTTTAAAACATTAAAAGCATGCTCTTAGGATGTACCCCAAACAAAAGGAACATTTTTCTTTACCAATTCATTTAGAGGTGAAGCTAGGGTGCTAAAGTCCTTAATAAAACGCCGATAAAAGCAAGCTAGCCCATGAAAACTTCGAACCTCCCCAACATTCATGGGAGTTGGCCATTCGCTAATAGCCTTAACTTTCTCACTATCCACCTCAACTCCTCGACTAGACACAATGAAACCAAGAAAATTAACCCTTTGATAAGCGCCAAGGTTGCTCGGGTTTACAAAGCTAGAGGTCCTTCTAGGATCCTTGCAAACATTCACAAAAACGACTAACTTACCGAATGATTCCAACCAAGAGTAAGGTTAGAAGATGAATCACTCTTAGATCGGACTTAGAATCTACGATGGTCACTCCTAGATCCTAAGACGACTCACTCCAGAATTAGCTTGATCGAGACTAATCCAATGAATCGGTTTAACATCAAACC